AGCACCTGGTGAGAGCACAGAGGTGTTTGCGGCCCACTCCTCCTGTTTCCATAGCTGCTCAACCCTCTCACTCACCTCCCCTTCCATCCTCCCCAGCTTGGGCCTCTGATGAAGAACACCAGTATCAGCCCACTAGTCTCTGGCTGCAGGCTGACCTCGCTCAGGTAAGATGTCCAGGCATCGGCCTTGTTCCCCACCTGACTGGTGGAGCAGATCGGGGCACAGGTGATACTGCACCCACTGAGCTTTTTTCCCAGGTTTTGTCCTCTCAGGCTGCTGTTCTACCTTTCTCTGATCCTCACCAAGATAGACATTACTCAGGAGTGAATGTCTGGAATTTCTCAAATCATTCTGTATTCTGCAAAACGATAAAAGCAACCATGAAGATGTTTTGCTTTAAAAAATTCTTAAACGATAGTCAGTGCTCAGTATTGATGCCCTCAATATACAGGCAGGATTCTTGGGCTGCCTGACGGGTTTCTTATTTCCTTTGGCCGGGTCTAGAATGGTATGAGGCTAGTATCCTTAAATACAAAATACAAAATGTTTCCACACGCTACCAAGGTCCCCAGTCACGTGGAACAGATGCCGAATCAGCCCGCTGCAGACAGGCTGGTCTGTGAACGCCCTACCAAGGTCCTGAGTCGCACGGAAGATGCCTAATCACACCACTGCAAACAGGCAGGTCTCCCATGCCCTACGGAGGTCCTGAGTCACAGGGAAGACACTGAATCACCCCGCTGCAGACAGTCAGGTCTGCGCACACCCTACCGAGGTCCCCAATGGTGCAGAACACACGAGGAATCAGCCTACTGCAGAAAGGCAGGTCTGTGCACGCCCTACCGAGGTCCTGAGTCTCATGGAAGATGCCTAATCACCCTGCTGCAGACAGGCAGGTCTCCCACAGCCTACCGAGGTCCTGAGTCGCACAGAACTTGCCGAATCAGCCAGCTGCAGGCAGACAGGTATGTGCACGCCCTGCCAAGGTTCTGAGTCATGCGGAAGATGCCTAATCACCCCGCTGCAAACAGGCAGGACTGCCCATGCCCTACCGAGGTCCTGAGTCACACAGAACATGCCGAATCAGTCTGCTGCAGACAGGCAGCCACCTAATTCCACACTACAAAGACGCAGGGGACACCACACCACCAGACCAAGGTACTGAGTCCCACTGTTCCTGGCCCAGAGGTAGGGGCTTCTGAGCCATCGTCCCACTGCTCCTGGTCCAGAGGAAGGTGCTTCCCAGCCACCATTCCTCCTGCTGCTGCCAGCCCAGAGGAAAGGGCTTTTGGGCCACCTTCTGTCCCTCTGCTCCTAGCCCAGAGGAAGGGGCTTCTGGGCCACCACCCTACTGCTCCTGGTCCAGAGGAAGGGGTTTCCCAGCCACCACCCCTCTGGATGCTCCCAGTCCACAGGAAAGGGCTTTTGGGTCACCATCGCTATGGCTGTTCCCTACCCACCTCAGAGGAGGTAATCCATGCAGGCGCTAACAGCCCTCCGCCCCAGTGAAAATGAGAAAACACATAAATAAGTCTCAAAACCAGACTTCCAGATCACCTACAGCAACCCCAAGGGGAAATGAGATGGAACACTCTGATA